CCCCCCAAATTTAAAGACAAAACGGAGGAAGGGAACGCTGGAAGCCACTCTGGGTCCCCCGTGGGAAAGAAAGTGGGGTTTAAGTAAATTTTAAAACTCAACCAACATACAAATGGTTAGCTACAAGGGTGCAAAACATCTTAACATTTCATTTGTTTGGAAAATCCTTGAATCCCGTCCCTGTGAGCTGCCATTCTGGACAGTTTTCAAAGGCAGCCCCATCATGTAAAGCACATTACAGTCATCTAACCTGGACAGACAGAGATGGAGAGCAAGGACAGATGACGCTTTCCAAGGAACAACTGCAGCTGGCATTCCGGCCAAAGCCTTGGACCACAAGGAGCAGCGGGATACAAAGGTCTCCGTAAATTAAATTAAATAAATAAATGGTGCTACGTGCCATGAAGGACACCTGAGCCTCCAACCACAGGCCCGGAACCAGCAGCAACCCCAAGCTATAAGCCCGCTTCATCAGGGGGAGTGCAGCCCCTCCCAGGGTAAGGTAAGCCCTCGACCCTTGTTCAGCTTTTCAAAGACCAACAGCACCACAGTCGGGTCCAGACTGAGAGCCAGCGTGGGGGTAGTGGGGTTTGGAGCAGTGGATTCTAATCTGGAGAACCGGGTGTCAGCTAGCTGCCATGTTTTGCTTGTTCCCTTCCCTGATCCTGGCGCTACAGTGCATGCCCCATAGCTTGCTCGTTGCTCTGCCGCTTGCCGTAAACAGCGATAGGGGAGACCGTGAGAACCTGTGCTGCCAGACTGAGTTATCTGCCTGACCTTGTGACGGGGGGAGGGCTTGCGTTCCACCGCAGGTGTGAATTTTTTGGCCCTCATGGGTCACTGAGACTCTCCCGCTTATTATGTAACCTCCCACCAGGAGAATTCCCGCGCGCGCGCTGGGATTTCATTTGCTTAGCCATTTGCCTCATCCTGCTATATGTAGGGATGTTTCCGCCCCATGGTCATTCCTAACAATAATCTTGTGGACATGGTAACAGACTTGTAGTCTAATAAAGGACAACGCTTCCCTGGAAACGTGTGTGGAGATTTACCTGCTGTTGAATCTGACACCGGGTTTGATTCCCCACTCCTCCTCCATGTGCAACCAGTTGGGGATCCATTCTGGCCCCGTGCTGCTTATCACTTATCTGACACCTCTGGGAGACATCAGCAAGGGATCTGAAGGGAGGGAGGCAGACGCTTTGGCAGTGCGCGTTCTGCTCTTGTTTGGTACAGCTTAATTTTTGGGCTAGCCGGCTTCAGCAGGCCACGTTTGGCCACGTTTGCCTATGTTAGCTATCAAAACTCAAGTATATCTTCCTACCCACCCAGCCTACATTTCTGTTCAAATGATCTTTCACTTTAAGATTCACTACTACTATGGGGAAATCAATTCTGGAATCAGGGTTTATGTGTAATAGGCAACACGTACGCTTGACGCTCAGGATTGCATAAGGTTCACACAACAATTTCAAGACATGTTTTCAAAAGGTTACCTGGGCTTACAGTTAGATGAAAGTGATGGAGTTTATTTGGGTCAGTAAAGCTCACTTTACACGTACCTGGAAACAAACACAAACATCTGAAAATCGGCGACGCAAATCTGAAGTTCCTCAACCCCCCTCCCACCACACCACACAT